TGTGTGTGTGTGTGTGTGTGTGTGTGTGTGTGTGTGTGTGTGTGTGTGGTTTGTTACATTACAGGATGTAAGTTAACTACATGGTTTATAAAAACTACAACTGTAATCACTGTAGGAAATCACATTGTTTATAAAAATTTAAGCATAAGAATATCAAAACCTTTGAGTGTAAAAGTATCTAAACATTTCAGTGCATATATGTAGTGCCATTAAATCAGTAAAATACTGTATATTTCAGTTGTAATATGAATCTTAAAACTTCTGTCCTCAGTCCTCTGACTGGTCGTTGTTTGTGCCTCTCAGCTCACAGATGGAAATCTCTGAGCTCAGGAATGGAGAGAGAGATGGAGTTCAGCTATGGTCGTAGTGACGATCTGGTGAGGACAGTGCTGTCACCGAGAGAAATGCTGCAGTTCTTTGACGGCCGCGAGGACTTCCTGTATTATAAACAAGTCTGCTTCGATGAGTTTGACCCTTCAAGGAACCTGTAAGAAACTGCTCTATGAAATTAATACCAGCTTAATCTCACAAAGTCATATCTTACGCAAAGATCTTTACGTTACACACAAAAAAATTAAGGTCAACTTTTGTACCCAAAAGGTACTTTTATTGGGAAAGTACCTTGTAAGTACAGAGATGGACCCTTGGGGTGATTTATTGTGGACCTTCAGAGGTACAAAATCATTGATCAGAGAAAATGGTACAAAATTGTACCAGTAGGGGTCAGTGTTGGGTGGGGTATTTCCTCCCTGATGGAAAAGGCGCCAGGAATGTAAAATGGCGGACTGTCCGGTTTTACGGAGCTTGTCCACCGAAGAACTTATTCAAAAAATATCTGAAGCTGGAATCAAAATTAATGAAGAGGAGGCAAGAAGATTCAAGGGTAAGTAATCTGACCTATTTAATATGCTCATATAATCTTAACTCAATCTATTAATTTAAGATTAACCTCACTTGCTAACAGTAACTAACATGTTGTGTACATGGAATTACTGTTACTCATCTTCTCTGCTATTTAATATTTTAGTGAAGTACCATCACGAGAGCTAAGTATTTTCACGTTTTGTGTTTAATAAGTACTTTGGGGCTCATATTTGCTACCAGCTTAGCTAAATCCTGTATCAAAAAAAAAAAAAAAATAACTCAGCCAAGTTTAAGGATACATTTCTAGATAGTTTTTAAAGGTTTTGAATTCTTATCACCATTATTATGTTTTAGCATTCAAATATACTAAAGTGCTTCGTGTGCAATATTTAAACCGAAACATTTTTTATTTGTCGGACATTGTGTTTAGCTACACCTTGTTGTTAGCCGAGCCCTTTTCACCGTCGGAAGGTAGCCCTGCCTAGTTAGCAACTTAGCATAGCAGGGGGTTGTGTGCGCGGGACGCGGGGTGTGTGGGCACTGAGGCGAGCGGTCCTGGCGGTATGGTTAGTATTCTCTTTATTAGACAAGGTGAGTCATTTATGTATGCTGGATACGCACTGAGTTTGGTTGGTACAGTGTCAGGTTTTGACAAGACTCACACTGAAGACGGGGACTGGAGCACACAGGCAGAGCTGTGCGCATCACACGCCCCGGCTTCGGTGAGAGTCTCACCAGAACCAAGCAAGCACCGAAAGCCAGGGCTTGGCGCGCAAAGCTCTGCCGGTGTGCTCTGCGCCGAGCATGCACACACCACAATGCACTTTATTCGTTATTGTGTTCTTAATCTGTGTATGCGTATCTGTGTGTTCATGCGTGCGCGCATTTGTGTTTGTTCGTAGAAAATGACGTTGATGGGGAAACTGTGGACTATGGACTAACAGAAGCCATGGTTGGATACCTATTTGATGGTTCCTTTAAAAAGCAAGTCAAGTTTCAACAGTTTGTGCGACAGTACAAGGAAGGCGAGACAAGCATTACTTTGGAGCCAGTGCCGGTGGATGTCTGTCCATCTACATCTACAGTAGAGCTCCAGTGTTTGCCATCTTCTGATGCAAGGCAAGTGTGTCCTCTCAAAACTGGCTGTGAATGAATGTGTTCAGATATTGTTCAATGCTTAATATAAAATGATATTTAAAATATAAAAAAAAATAAGCACGGAACCTTGATTTTTGTATTCTGTTTGTATATGTAATGTAGATTCAACAGGTAATACTGGCATGTATTTCTGTAATTATTGGAGTTATAATTGTAAAGGGGAGTTCCCTGGAGTTATTGTACAAATTTGCTTTATTGTGGGGGTTACACACTCATTTGCATATTACAGTTCTTCTTTTCATTTAATTTAACTGGACATTTGGCTGGGATTATTTTAATTTCATTATTGTTAACTTTGTCCTTAATGTCTGGTAAGATTTAGTGGACAGCTTTTAAGCAGAATAGTGAATGGGTCAATAAATTATTCATTATACATGATTAATTATGATAGATAAATTGTTTGTAAATAGAACTGAAAGTAACAATATACACAGCATAATTTAAAAGAGTAATACTAAAATTTCTTTATTTTTTTAGATTTGATTCAGTGATTGATCTGTTGTTTTAGAGCCAAAATTAGGAAAGGATGACTTTCATTTTTCCTTTCAGTGGCGAAGTGGCTCACAGGAGACTACCTGTTGTGACCATCATTCCAACATTTCCCAAAGATGTCCAGATGAAACTGGATGCAAAAGAACCATGCCACAGAGTCTCCAAACTCCGCAATAAAATAGTCAGAGTACTGTATGAAATGATGGCAGAATACACCATGTAAATAACATTTCTATATACTATTGTTGTCCTATATGTGTGTGTTTAAAGAAAACAAACAAAAAAAATCTTATTTCTGTCTTTGAGATAGGTATCCAACCAATGTGGAGTACACTCAAGTTGCCAAGGCCCTGATCATGAAATACCCTTTCCTGAGAGACATGGAGAGGAATGGCTATGTAAGTCTTTCTAATTGTTGGCCTGCACATATGTATATATGTCTGTAAATGCTCTTTCTTGCAGGTGGTATTCAGCTGGACAGGGTTAATTATAGAGGACTGAAACGGATATATGGACCAATAAATAAATACACTTAATGCACTTATTTAAAAAGACATACAAATGCATCTACAAGTAAAAGGAAAAACAAAAATATATATGTTTAAAAACAGTAATATGTAAATTATGTGCTAAAATACATAATTTACTGGAACAAAGATGGAAAAAATATGAAGGCCAGTTAAATTATAAAAACAAAGTTCTCCTTTTTAAACTAATTGGTGCTTTTTTTTTTTGCAACAAAGAGGAGTCTCATTCACTTATAATCCAGCTGGTGTCAATGTTAGGCCTTCTATTTGAAGACTGCACTAGAGAGCTGATACTATTGTGATTAGAAGCAAAACCTACTCTAATCTATCAACCCAGTCCAGTTGGCTATTCAAGCTTTTCACTATGATACGTATTTGTATTAACATGTATGCATATATCTGTATTTGCTGCTTAAATTATATTAAATGTTTTATGAAAAAATTTCCTAGCACACCTGGCACATGTCGTTGAAGAGAAAGTTTAAAGCAGAACGTGCACCACTTGTTAGTGACACTGAAGTCAGAAAGTTGAAGGAGAAGTTTGGCCATACAAAGCAGTCCAAGACCACCAAGACATCTTCAAAAGTGTCTCGCAACTCATTGAGTCAATCTTTTGTAAGTTTATTTCCATGTGTTATTTATTTTTCATGTTTTGATTTATAAATGAGACTTGAAAAGTTTCAAACGTTATACATTAAGTTATTACCAGCCACTGTCTCTTTATCCCAAAGGAAATTTGTGTTGGGGAAGATTCTGCATCTGTTGAGGCCCATGTGGATGTGCTCCAGAGTGAATATCGGAAGATGCATCCAGATATGACCACTGTCAAAGACCGCATGGCTCGAACATTCTCCTGGAGACGACGTGAAATCATGGAAGGGATGCCAGTAGAGGAAGTACTCAACAAATATCCTTTCTTAAAGATGCCTACTATAGTAAGTACAGCTAAATGGTAAATGGACTGTACTTATTTAGTGCCATTCTATCAACCAAGATACTCAAAGCACTTTATACTACAATATGTCTTCATTTACTCATTCACACATACATTCAGCACTCTACTAGACCTCTCTACAAAGTTAATACAAGTAAAACAATCTATAGAGACTAATCAGTGCTTTAAATCACATTCATACATTGATGGGACACACATCAGAGGCAGAAGGGGTTCAATGTCTTGCCCAGGGACACTTAGACATGTGTCAGAATAGTCGGGAATCGAACCTCCAGCTCTCGCATTAGAGGAACAACTGTTCTAACCACTCAGCCACAGCCACCATCAAACTAAACAGATGTGTGTCAATTAGGCATAAGACAACATTGAATTTTTGTCTTTTATTTATTGTGGCCATAATAGTCACCATTAACAATAAATATTGTAATATAAGTAGGCTATATATATATATATATATATAATGCAGCTGGTGACTTGGATGAGATGCATCACAACCCAAAATATTTTAACTCTGTATCAACACCAAATAAAGTAAATTATAATATACATTGCAAAATATATGTGTCAGTCCACACAGGTGTAGTTAGTCTTTTTACTGGTGTAATAACCTAGGTAGAAGGCCATGAAGAAAACTTCAAAGCAGTTTTTTGATGGAACAAGCAACCAGGATTAGATATATTTAAATAAAAGCAGCTGTACTAGGAAATTATAAAAAATCTAAGACCAAAAGATGGGTCCAAAACAAGATCAGAGCAAAGTGCGGCAAAAAAATAAAATTTATTGCAGTGACTAAAAATATCCTCAATATTTTTTTTTTTTTTGCAATAGAGATTATAAGTGATTGTTCCATCCCTAATGTGAGCTTGTCTATGTAATTTTGGACATTGTGAAAATGTGAGCTTTAATGTAAGGCCGGCAGTTGCCTTTAAAAATAATAACTGATAATGTATTTGTGTATTCTACAGTGTATTGATGAGGTTGACAGACTTCACCCTTCAACATTTGCCTTCTGTCATCGTTTCAAAGAAGGCTTTGCCACTGTGTTGCCAAATGTGCTGAAGTTTGCTCAGGGAAAGTCTGTGCTGGCAAAACAGTACAATGATGCAAGAAAGGATGCCCTGGCTGAAGACCTACCAGGTAGTCACAGTCGTCTTGCTAACGAATGTGAAAGTAGATCTGTAGTTACACTCTGTAATCTGTGATCTTTTTTTTTGTCTTTTTTTGCATTTGAGGAATTGACTTAAGGGCTGGACTCATCCTTTTGCCATCCGTCTTCAGAGAGAAGATTGAACACTACATCACTTTGGGAGAGGTAGGCATCTGGAATGTAGTAAAATCTTGTTCAAATAAGTGAAGAGGAAAAGGAAAATGACTAAGGATGTATGAGTAAGGAAATATTTTTAGTATTTTTTTTTGTTTAATATTTTGCTCAATATTTCAGTGTTTCCCCCAGTGCATTATTACACTGGTGGGCTGCCAGGCTTAACTTGCACCCCTGCACCCCACCCACCCACCAGGCTTAATGTCATTCATTTATTTAGAACCAGCGCAGGTTTAAATAGCCTGAACAACATTCAGGACATCGCGCCAGCTAACTGTTTCATGGGGGACCTTTTTGGTTACTACATGGCTAAAAGCAAGCTAGTTGTTGGAGGTGTTGAACAGACTAAGATCACTGCAACATTTCCTGGTGGCCGGCTGGTCCGTGATCAAGGAGGGGCAGAACAGGTTGCTCTTTGTTTTAATGAACTGTTTATGTTGCATGTGCAGCTCACTCATGTATCTGCTGGCTGAAGCCCAAAAAGACAGCCCGCACATGCACCTCACTTCACCCCACCGTACCCCACCCCCTTGAGTCTCGCTCACAACCTGTATGCACGCACATATCTGCCCTCTTGTAAAATGAGAGAAACAGACAAGAGTGAGAAACCATCTTTAGAAATATAACCATACTGCGCTCCTTGCCCTGGTCATAAAAATGTTACGGTTCCTTAACACACACACCCTCACCAGCCGTCGCCAGTTTTCTGGGGGAAACCTTGCATTTAATATGCTTAAAGTTGTATTACTTAATATTTTAAAACTGTAACTAAACACTGTCTTTAAATTCTTTTTAAAATAATTGGTACAATATCTTTTGCTGCTTGGTTTGACATGTTTTATTTTTGTAATTTATATAGAAAGATGCTGCTACACCCTATCCAACCATTCAACTGAGGAATAACGAGTGGAAGATGGCGATGACCAGTGCTGGGCCCAGTGTGGTGAAAGTAGATGGAGTAGATGTGTGCCACTGCATGGATCTTGATGAAGCCTTTATAACAGCCTTCAGTATGTACTTCGTTTTCAACATTGCATACCCACCACACCTGAAAAACACCCTGACCTTTCTTCAGAGGCGCATTGTCAGCATTGTGGAAGAGGGAGACAAGACTTTGCCTATAACTGTACTCCGAGTCATCAACAATCTGTGCTAGATCATCATGCCTCAATTATACCAGTGCCCCAAATGCATGCGAAGGACTTTTACCCTAGTTAAGTTAATCCAGCACATTGGGCTTGTTCATGCCCATGAACCACGTTTCAGTGTTACCTGTGGTATAAGTGAATGCCAGGCAACTTTTTCCCAGTTCCATTCTTTTAGGAAACATGTGTACAGGAAGCATAAACGCAGTGTCTTTCAGTCTTCTGACTCTGAGGGGCACGGTGAGGATGCCAGTGTGGTGCAGCACAATTTACACTGTGATCAACAAGATTCTGAATTAGATACATGTCCTCCTGATCATCAGATAGTTGAGCCAAATTTAGATAAACTACTGGAGGAATTCAGAGATAATCTGTTCAAATTTGTTCTTAAGTGCAGAGAGAAAAACCTTTTACATTTGTCAGTTCAACAAGAGATAACTGACGATGTTCAATTTCTTCTTTGTTTTTTCAAAGAAAACTATGATGCATTTATCGCTTATCATCTTGAAAAAAGTGGTTTTGATGTTTCAAAATGTTCTGAACTTCAGCAAGTTTTACATTCATCTGATTTCTTTGACAAAGCATGTGAGGCAGTTCGTTCTCCTTACATGATTAAAGAACATTGCAAGGCTAAGATGGACTATACAGAACCTGTACACTATGTGTTGAAAGACTCTAGCGGGAACACAGTAGGGACCTATTCTTATGTTCCTATATCTGAAGTTTTGCAGAAGTACTGTTCTCATGAAGATGTCTGGGATCAAATACTATCTGAAACAAATGAAATGAAAGATAAAGATACTCTGACAGATTACAGAGACGCTCTCTATTTTAAGGAACATGTGTTTTTCAAGGAGCACCCAAATGCTTTAAGGCTTCATCTATATGAAGATGAATTTGAAATTGTTAACCCTTTAGGATCAAAGAGAACCAAATATAAGTTGTGTGCATTTTACTACACTGTTGGAAATTTGAGTGGGAAGTATCGATCTCAGCTTAAGCATATTCACTTAGCTCTGCTCGTTCGTTATTGCCATTTGAAACAGTTTGGCATGGAGGTCATATTAAAACCAATGATTGAGGACCTAAAGCGGCTTTCAACAGAGGGCTTGATAATTCATGTCTCTGGAAGAGATCATAAAATCTATGCTGCCTTAGCTACTTTTTCAGGTGACAATCTGTCAGCTCACATGATTGGTGGCTTTCGCATGTGTTTTCACTCTGGTCGTATTTGCCGTTACTGTATGGCTACCCATTCAGAAATTAATCACAAACTCCAAGAAGATAGCTATGTTCTAAGAACAAGTGAAGTTCATGAATATCATCTCCAGTGTGTTCAGCAAAATGTTGAAAATGCTGCTTTGTATGGTGTACATTGCAGAAGTCCATTTGATGCACTGAACTATTTTGATGTGACCAAGTCTTTGCCCCCAGATCTAATGCATGATCTGCTAGAGGGAGTTTTTCCGCTGACGATGAAACATGTCCTTGTTGAAGCATGTAAACAAAAACATATAAGCATAACAGAGCTAAATGAAGAGCTTCAAAGATTCTGTGTTGGGCAGAATGACAAGGCCAACAAGCCTGTTATGCTCTCTGAACAGGTTCTCAAAAATAAAGGGATTGTAGGAACAGCTGCCCAGAAATGGTGTCTTTTCCGATTGCTGCCTTTTATAATGGGGCACCGTATTCCTCCTGGTAGCAGATACTGGCATGTGTTCTTACTATGTAGAGAAATTGCAGACATTGTTTTGGTAGAAAAAGTGAGTAAAGATGAACTAGCATATCTAGAATTGCTTGTACACACATTTCTTTCTGAGATGAAAGAGGTTTTTGGAGCTGTTTTAACACCTAAATGTCATTACCTTGTACATTATCCAAGACTTATGTCAATGTATGGTCCTCTTCGTTCTCTTTGGTGTATGCGTTTTGAAGGGAAACACCAATATTTTAAGAATCTGACCAACAACTGTCGAAATTTTAGAAACATAACAGTGACACTGAGCTCTCGTCACCAGCTCAAACAGTGTTGGGAATTTTCACCTAGTAATATCCTGGGTGATTTTGAAAAGGTGCCTGGGAGAAGCATCAGCACACCAATATTGTCTCTACCCATTTGCCTTCAAACTACTCTAAAAGAAAGTGGCAACTTCAGCAATGTAGAAGGGAAAGTAATTCAACGTGTATCTGAAGTGACAGTAGACAATGTAAAGTATGCTGTTAGAGATGTGTTGACACTAGACCTTGTACATGAGGAAAACATTCCAGTGTTTGGACAGATCAAATACATTCTTAACATTGACACTATGTGGTTTCTCTGCAGTAAAATTTTGCATCCATTGTCTTTTGACTTGCATTTTCATGCATATCGTGTAAGAGTAGACAGTGAGTGGATATTGCTCAAACCTGGAGACGAAAAGGACCATACATCACTTGACACGTACACTATTGATGACAGTTTGTATGTCGGATTAAGATGTTCCGTGTAAACACTTGTACAATTTTTGCAAGGGCATGACTATAACGAGAGGCAAACAGTCCTCATTCAACCTTCTATTCTGTTCTGTTTTGCTTTTATGTTAAAAACAAGTTTTACAACATTGCATTAATTAAAAACACTAAGAATGGATGTTCACATTTTGGTACTGATCTTGTTTTAAACTGTATGAACTGTTTTAAAATGAATTGATTTTGATAAATAAAGAATATTTTTGTGAATATATGGGTTTGTTTTTGTCTCTTAAAGGTACAATTTGTCGTGTCGCTCCAGCTGTACCTCATCGGGTACATAATTTGTACCTTTTTAATGGGTACAATTTTGTACCTGAACATAAAGGTACATATTTGCCACTAGAGGTACAGAAATGTTCTTTTAAAGGTACAGACAATAAGGTACAAAATTGTTCCTAGGTTTGGAGGTACAATATTGTCCTCCACTAGGGTACAGCTGGAGCGACAAAGCCTTTGTACCTTTTTAGGTCCATTCTTGTCCCTTTATTTTTTAGTGTGTATGAAATCTCAAGAAATGATAAGACATTACCCTGATCATGAATGAGAAAATGAAAACTTGTGACCTGAACAGATTTCTCAAAATAAAGTAATTTATTTTAGATATATGAACAGAATAAACATACAAACATTT